CCCCAAAACCCCAAAACCCCAAAACCCCAAAACCCCGAACTTAATTGTTCTGGTTGAAAAGGTTAAGTGAGATTATGGTCCGTAATATCTACTTAATCCATTTCTGTTGTAATTCATGAATGTTGGGCAGGTATACTTTGACTCGTATTTTGAATCATAGTTTTGGGTGTAGCTAAATGATGGTCTTGAATAGTACCCAGATCTGATAGATTGTACTCTTTCAGCAGGAGACCCTAGTTGGTAAAAGTCTATTCTTTGAGTTCCTCCTTTTCTGAGAGAATTATAATTTGACGAATGACCCTAAAAAATAGATTTTGCTTGTTTACTGATATAGAAGAAAATGTCGGTTGCTTCTCTTGAGAATTCCTTCTCTGATTTCTCCTCAAAGAAGATGCCTAAAACTGAGAATATAGAAGGTACTCTATGAGAATCAAAATTTTGTGGCCAAGGATCTGAAGGTGAATGTTCTCAAGACACTCTTAACACTCTCTTGGTACGTTTTTCCAAGGGCTATGATCAAATTAGAACAAATTAAAAATCTAAAAAATGGTTACCTTGGTCATGCTTTTATGGATTTTGAAATTAGCATTTGTTGTTAGAGTGCTAAAGAGTGAATATAGACATTTTTATAATTTATTCCATTTAAGTAATATATATGCAATTAGTTTTTGCTTTCTTCAAGAATTTTCTTAAAGTTTGTGACATATATATATCTGGAAGATATTTAGAAATTAAAACTCATAGTACCCCAAGGTGAAAAATTGAAAGAACTTTGCTCAGCTCTAGATCTATAATATTCTAACTCTCTACCCAGCTGTTACATCAACATTCATCAAAATGTGCATCCTGAATTCTTAGTGCTAAAGTTTGACTCCAAATTTGATTCCATCACAGAACTAATGTAAAAATTTATATTAACATCCCAATGCCTAAAATTTTAGATAAGCATTATTGGATGATTACAATGTAACAGCTGGGTGAAGTTTTAGAATATTTTTGATCTAGAGTGAATCAGAATTCTTTCAAATCTTCATCTTGAGTGCACTATGAGCTTCAACTACCAAATATCTACCATACTTTTCATTTCAGAAATTTTTAGAAAATACTTGAAGTAATAAAAAAAATTACACAAAAATTTGTTATTTAAATAAAACAACTTGTTAAACTCTTTATAAAAGCTTACTTTTCAGTATCCCTCCATGTGGTTGCACTTTTCTGCTCTTCTGTTCCAAATTTTTTATTGGCCATGAACATTTTTCCTTTATCACTAGTAAGCCCCTTGATAGGATTTCGAGAAGATTTATCGTTTAGGGAGCTATAATTTTCAGAAGTAGAATCGATTTTCCTCTCATCTTTCTTAAGGTTAGGCTTTTTATATGGACCAGAATTTGCTTTCTTCATCGGATGTTCAAAGGTTCTTACAAGTTTACCTTCTTCTACATTAGCATGATATTTATCTTGGTTTTTAATGTTGTCCTTAATCTCCATAGCTTCGGTGAGACATTTGGTGTCATGCTCTACTTTAAATGTAGTGCCACTAGAAATAGTAGATTTATTCTCTTTAATAATAATATCTTCGACTTTATCAAGCCTCTCTAGGGCTTTATTGAGATTCTCTAAAACAGTGTTGAACTGAGCCCCTTGATTATTGACCAATGAGTCGATTTTTTCCTCCAATTTGGATAATTCAGGCACAGGCTTGACCTTCTTGACGACCTTTTCAAACTTCTTGTCTTCTTCTTGAAATAGGTAACTTAGAGTAGGAGTCTGAAGAAAATCTTGGAGGTTCTGAATGGAGGTAATGTCATACGGTGTTTTCTCTTTTTCAGATTTGTATAGAACATCCATGAGTCTAGAGACAAGAGTGTAATGAGAAGTCTGCAAAATGGATTATTTTATAAATAAAACTAAGTTGATTGAATTGGTCTTGCCTGAGGGAATGTTTAGAGCAGACCAAGTTAATTTTAGAACTACTTACTGACTTATCTGATCTTCATCAAATGGACTTTTAATATTTGGTAATATCTTCTCTACTTCGCTGATTAATTTCATAATTTTTGAAAATTTTCTGTTCTCATTAGAATCTGAGCTTTCTCCATCTTCTGATCCTTCTGAATTGTTTTCATATTTGACAAGCTGCAGGGTTAATATTTTGATGAATAAGCATGAGGCTTTTCCTTCAAGGCATTTTATATTCTTGAATTTTTTAATAGCCTTTTCACAGTGCTTTAATGCTTTGTTAGCAGATCCTTCATTTCCTTTTTCGAGTGTCGTTAGAGCCAAGAGTTTATAAAGATTTGCTCTTGTTAATTCACTTTCATGAAGTCACTTTCTTCCATAAATATTGCAAACATCGAAAGAATCATTAAATCGCTCAGACTTCAAGAGAAGAGTTGCAAATAGGAGAACGAATTTATCATGAAGTGCTATATCTTTACTCTTTAAAAGCTTGGGAAGATCATTAAAAGAGTTCTTGTATTTATATTGCTTAGTGTTGGATCTCTCAACAGGAGTCTTGCTTTCTGTAAGTAATAGATTTCATTCATTATTACTCTTTAATTTCTTTTCTTCTCGTGATTTCATATCAGAATCAGTTTTTAGAGTACTATTACTTTTCTTAGATCCAGGTTCTTGCTCAGAATCAAGAGCAAGAATTGCAATATTTCCTGCTGCTCTTTGTCTTTGAGCATCTATTCTCACATTGATCCACTTATCTGCTCCTTTAGAGTCAGAAGAGGCATGATCAGATCCTAAATTTTTAGTACTTAGTCTTTTCTCAACTTCTCCTTTTGTTGGAATGGCTTCATCATTTCCTTCACTTTTCTTGGATTCATCATCTGGATTTACTTTGATTATTTTATTAGAGCTGATAACATAATTTTCATCTCTTCCATCTGAGCTAAATTCTTCTCCTTCTTCATCCGAGAATGGCTCAGAATCCTCACTGCCTCCTTCAAATTTGAGGCTAAAGCCATCATCTGTTACTTTATTCTCTTCTTTAGCAGAGCTTTGATCAAAGACTTCCCCTTCCTTGCCACTTAAATCATCAGATTGGCCTGATGAAGTCCCAATATTTTCACTTGCTGATTCAATATAGTGTGCATCTTCAACCTTCTTATTGACTTGGAGTGTATCTCTTGGTCCTTGGATTAAATTTTCACCAACCTCAGGCTTCTATTAATTATTTGTAAAGATTACACTTGGATTTTCTTCATCGATTTTATCCATTTTTAACCCTAAACTGATTAATGTCAAAACTTACCTGTTATTTTCTTAACGAATTCCTTATTCTTAAAGCTTGAGTCATTTAATCTTGAAGAAGAAAGGTTTCCGCGGAATCCTTGTGACTGATTTGGGTTTTTAGTTAAAGCTAAATTAAAATTTAGCTTTTTTATTGAAAAATCATACTATTGTAAATATTCTTAGTATCTTTTTTTCTTTCTTCAAATTGTCCAGTGAAGCATAACTCTGCAAGAGTAGGTTTCTTCTTGAGTCTAAATTTTTGCATCCCAAATCTGTTTGTAATACTTTTTCTAACTTTTGGTTGCTTCTTAGCTTCTGCTGCCTAAATGATCGGTAAAATTTTAATACTTTCGAATCTGGAAGAATAAAGAACATAAAATAGTTAATTTTAAAAATTTGCTTGAAAAAATAGCCAGCTCATAAGTGGTAAATTTCACTTATAAATGTTGCTCTAAATGCATCAATAATTACCTTCCCGCCAAGCTTAGACATTTGCCTCCGATACTCTTTTCCTTTGACCTTTCCAAAATCTTTAGGAATAGAGGTGCTGAGGAATGAAATATTATTAGATTTTGAAGCTTTCTCTCTTAATCTATCTAAAATTGCCCATCAATTTTCTTCATAAATCTCTAGTAACCCAGCCAATTCCTTCGCTATAACAGATGAAAAGTTCTAAATTACGTGCTTTGAGGAGTTCTTCCATATGGTTAATCATAAACTCTACAATTTTCTCATCTAATTTCGCTTTGCCTTTGTCACTTAAGTTCTCTTCTATTAGTTCTCTTCTCCAAGGTTCGATCCTGTAAACTACATCATAGACATCATCATCTATCGAATGGGTTCTAGAAGTCATTAGTTCAAAATACTTTATTAATTTAGGCTTCCTTGTCTTCCTATCTTTGTTATCTTTCTTTTTTAGAATATAATCTTCTTTATATATTTTCTTTTCAATGATGATCGATTTATCTTTCAGGATTTGGATCCAATTTTTGTTCCATTCTTTGGAAATATTCAATAAGTTATCAAAGCTCAGGCCATCTGGACATAATGATAGATGATTTAGACACTTTAGGATCTCTGGACTTCGCTCTTGGATGAATTCTAATGAGATCTGTAAGGCTAGTCCTAAAGTAATATTCTTCTTTTTCTTCTCATAATCCTTCACTTTCTTATAAATCTCAGATAAGGTTTTATCTATAGTTAAGTGTTATGAGCTTACCGTCAGCATTTGATGACACTAGGAGGGCTCAAAGAGGATTCCCTTTTAGAAGAGTTATAAGTTCATGCTTCAGAAAGTCTAATCACTTGTTTTTCTCATTTACATGACCAGTAGATATGCAGAGTTCTTTAAATTCCTTATTGAATGTTAGAATGTTCTTCTTTGCAGGTTGAATCAGGCTGAAGATTGAAATTGCAGATAGTTCATTGATTTTTATCTCTTTTGCGTCGAATATTACAGGTCTTCCATCTTGTCCATCAATAATGTTTTCTTTGATCTTAGAAGTAAGTATCATTTTGGAGTTTTGAATCTTTTTAGAAAGATCTGTGATCATATTTTTGAATTCATCTTTAGCCATGAAAGCATCTCAGTTATCGAGTACTATCAAAATTTCAAAGTCTTTGATGTTATACATACAAGAATGATAGAGTTCTTCGGGATCTCAGTTTACAAAAGACTGAAGTTCATTTCTCTTTTTAATACTTCTGAGAGAATGCTTCATAGTTTTGAACAAAATATCAATAAAATCCTCAAAGACCTCAATTTCCTTCAAAGAAAGGTACAGAACTCCATCTCTGCAATAATTTCTATCAAATATTAAGTGGGAGACCTCTTTGGCAATAGATGATTTTCCGATCCCTTCGTCACCAGTAAGCCAGACTCATCTGTGATTCTCAAACTGTTGGATAATTTTGACAATTTCCTTCTCTCTTCCTATGAGTTTTCTTCCTCTATTTTTAAGTATTAAAAAAAGAGTTTAAACTCGAAGACAATCAATTTTAATTGGAAAATCCGAACTCTTCCAAATGTTCAATGAACCGAGAGTGGCAATAAAAGGAAATATGCAATGATGCAAGCTTTGGAAGTTGAACTATTGTTTAATTGATATTAGAGTCCTACTCTGTAAAGATAAAGGAAGTATATAGTTTAAATGAAATTAAATTTCACTTTCACAATGTTTTTATAATGAGCACAATTATTGACCAACAAGTGAAGAAGATTATTCATACCTATCGGGTAATGCTTCAATTTTTGTTTTGATACTTTTATTCTTTGACTCTCCTTTATCTAATTGGAAGAAAGTTCCACAATTGGCTACCTTATTTTGGTGATCTCAGAGTCAGAGGAATTTATTCGCTTCAGCTCCTTTAAATTTGTGTAAAACTGCTTTCTTTCCTTGCTCAAAAGCTGAACAGACAGAACATTCTTCTCCATAGAGTAAGTAGTAATAAAAAGCTTTAGCGAATGTCAATCAAGCTTGATCTGCAACTTCTCATTCTCTTTTAATTCAAACAACATGATTGACTCCTGCGTTTGCAAAGATTTCTCCTACTTTTTGAGAGTGTCAGGACAATACAACAGCCAGTCTGATCTTTTCCTCTTCTTCTTTATTCTTTGAAAACATCTCTCTGATCATTTTACCAGTAATGTTTTCATTCCTCAAATCTTCTTTCTCAATAATCAGGAAGTCATTGTCTCCATTTCCCTTATCTTTCTCTCCATGGCCTGAAAAATGGAGAATCTTGGGCTTGCCTAAGAGCACATTTTCAAAGTTCTGCCTTGTAGCCCACACCTTCTTGTACACTACAGCTGTAGGGAGATCCTAAACTTCTTAGCCAAGAAATCTTAAACTTTGAGAAGAAACTAAAACTACCTAAAATCCTCCAATTATGTTTAAATGAATTGTTGCTAATGCTGGATCTGCACCATCACCAAACAGAAATCTTAAATTTTACTCTGCTATTTTTAACGGAGGGTTTATGGTATCACCCGAAATGCACTCTAGTAGATTCGACATCGTTTTTAATGGTCCGCTATGTCATAGCTTTTGTAGATAATTTTTAAGAACAATTGCTTTGAATTATGTTGTAAAGAAGAAAACAAAATCTTTTTCAGTGACCTCCGGTTTATGCTTACTGTTAGAAAATAAATGCAATGTGCTGAATTTGAGCTTCAACTTATAGGAGTAAATGTTACTCTGTCTTATAAAAGACTATTATTAAATGCACTAACGTGAAATCACTTTTCCATTCAGCACTAAGACAGTCTAAGTATGTTTGACGAACTTTAGAATTAAAAGTATGCTTGTTGAATCACTTTCGAGATTTACTTTTATCAATTTCTTTTCTGTAGACTAGTTTAATCTTAAATACCTATCAAAATATGATAGGCTAATGTAAGTTCGCTATGAATAAAGATATAGCTTCCCTTTTGGCTACTTTATAAATAAGGATAATAATTTCTAACAACCATATGAGCTAGCCTAGCTATAATTATTTTCCAGAAATTTTTGCATAAAAGATATGTAGAATTCGCACGAGGTGCTTTTTAGTTAGAGAAATATAAACCCTTCAGATTTTTCAAGAATTTTGCTTGAAGTTTATTCAACAGAAAGCCATTAATCTGATTTTAAAGATAAAACTTCAAGTGCTTATTTTATGAAATAAAAACTCTAACTATACATAATAAAAGATATTTCTAGGGGTACTCAGTAGGTATTGTGACGTTGCAAATAATTAATAAGAGAGTTTATCTCTAGTTTAAAATCGACTATACCGCCTCCCATTGATATGATAAGTAATATTGAGGCTAGTTATGATTGAGCGTTGAGTCTTAAAAGTCAGAGAAAACTCTTGAGAGTCTAATCCTTTCAGAACTTAAATCATTCATCAGCTGATAGCCCTATAATCTATCTCTAAATTTTCTTGCTAATACTGAAGGGTATTTTAATGACTTAAATTTTATTTTTAGGCAATGTGAACTAGATGATTCCAAGACTAGGTGAATCACACCTAGAAGAAAGCTGACTTACAATCAATGTATTGTCTATAAGAAAAGTTAGTAGATGAATACAGATAAATTTAGGAAATTTTTAAAGATTATGAAGTTCTGATAGATTTTTTTTTGCAGTGCTTGAGAAAATAAAATTGGAAGAAATGTAGAAGGAATTATTTCAGATATTTAACAATTTTGAATTTGAGAAAGAAGTGAACGGTTGAAAATTTCTCACTTATTATTTTGAACTCTTCTCTATGGTTCAAAAGTTCAATCTTCTGATAATCTGGCTCTTCTGAATCATTTAATACCTTTGTATTTTGAAAAATCTGAGGACTAGCAAAAGCAAAAACTAGATCTAGCTCATCAAAATTCAAAGCGAAATCTAACTGATCCTTGTCTAAAGAGTGGGATCTCCCATCAATTGCCTCTCCATCCAAAGATTTCCTCATATTATTCGGGCCTAAGACCACACCTTCCTCTTCATTTCACTTGTCATCGCAGTAGCTTTAGCCAAAGACATCCTCTTATTCTTAATAATCTCAAGTGGCGATGACGGCTCCCTACCAAAATCTAGCTTATATATCTCCTTCCTGTCATCGTCCAAAGTATCAACCAATCACCCATTCTCGATCTCAAACCCAATTGCCTCCGTTGGCACTAAACATAACTGTCAACTTCTTCCCACCTGATGCCTTACTTAACTTCCCAAGTAGCTCAAGTATATTATTAACTGTAACAACTTCCTTTTCTCTATATGAGTGATTAGCTTGATTAAAAGGTTCATAATGGTTAGTAGAGGAACTCCCTTACTCTTCTGAACTAGACATTTTATTATTTTAATTTTATTTAATATGTCGGGGTTTTGGGGTTTTGGGGTTTTGGGGTTTTGGGG